TTCCTGTTTTTTAATCTATCCGTAATCGAAGCACTTGGAGCAGACATACACTGTAACGGGGTCACACACACCGACATAAAATATATGTATCCTCCGAGATGGATATTAAATTTGATATTATAAGCCATAATTTATGATGGTCTTCGATAGACCATTGGTACAATGAGCCACTCGCGACTGGTGCAATTAACCTCGATCATTAGGAGAATCACTCAGAATTTGATTTCCATGTGTACCATGTTAGAACTTGAGTGTACAAGGACGTTAGGTGTTTTATTTCTAATTATCGAGTGCCTTTGAGGGACTGACTAGGTAAACACCCCCTGGATGAACGATAATTCAATTATCTCACTAAGCCATTTCCTCCTAGAATTTATCACGTGGCTTTCACTCATGAGAAAATTGCTGAATTCCTTGTTGGCCGCAGAGACAGCGCCGGCGCGTCTAGTGTACGTTATTGTGGCTGCCCATTTTGCACCTGACGACTCCACATCAATGTAGATTAACGATGTAGCGTTGTCATTCTGCTCATCGCAAATTGACTGCTACACATACAGCCTTTCAAAAATTGGGTATCGGTACTATAAATATTTAAAAAGAAACGTTACACAAATGCAGATATCCAACTGCTTCACCACATATCTTTTCTTTTAAAAGTTATGGTGGAGAGACTTCGGCGGTGTGTTATGGAACGATGATATAGCGTATACAGGTACGGAGAATGACAACGATAACTAGTTATCTACGATGCTGCTATGCAAACAATTGTCCCTGATGCGCTCTAGAAATGTTGTAAAATTGTAAAAGCGTGTGCGCTCGACGAACTTTTCACATATACCGGAATTGTGGTACCATGGGTGTATATAAAAGGTAACTGTACAACTCGTGTTGTAGCACATGAAGCTGCAGATGAACATATGTTCTTGCTGCCTTGACTAATAAATACATTCTTGAATAGCTTACCAGCCAACACAAGAAATTGTGCATTTTAAGAGTCGAGTAGAAGTGCATTGTCATCTTCTATATACTTATAAGGAGATGGATGGATCACGGATAGTACTGTCTTTCGCCCTTGCATGTATTTTGTTTACCTGATGTGATGGTGCATAACTTGGGCCAGCGTTCATTTGAACACCACAATCGTGTTGATTGCTGGAACCGCGTGAGCTACCACTTCCCCGTAGTATTTGCGTCGGTTCTTGAACAATAGAATTTGATTGCTCTTAGGAGTTTGCTTTTAGCTTATCACAAATATCTTTGCTGGTGAAGTGGTAGCAGATTGTGCCGTTCCCGGGGCCTTTCAATTGCATGATCAATAGTTTGACCAGATCTCTTTCTGTTTCTTGCTCTGGTTCTGAAAATGGCTTTTGAAGCCACCAGTGTACATGAAAGCCCGGTCTTCAATTTACTCATTCTTTCCAGTAAGACGTGTATCTTGTGGGAACAGGAAATACCCGTGGTTGCAGTGTAATTTTTTTGACAGGTTGATGAAGCATCTTGAGCAATCTGTGCTTTTGCATTTGCTCATAGAGCGAGATTTAGCGTATATTATATAATGTTTCGGCGAACGTTAGCGCGTGTTCCACTGATCTGTGATAGCTGCGTATTCGATCGAGCACGTGTCATACTTTTTCTATTTCTGCATGTTGCTGACCAACTGCGAGGTTCAGACGCCTAATCACATCAACAAGGCTCTAAGTAGAAACAGTATTAGGCACCCTTAATTTGAGCGGAGGAAAGATAGTTGAAGTGCAGATGGTGTTTTGTCCACATTGCAACATATCACTGTGTGCATCTACCCACGCAATTTCACATACTTCAGCAGGGTGAGAACGCTGGAAAGTAGTTTATCGAGTATTAAAAATGTTTCCTTCGAGCTTGCTACTAAACGTTTTTAATTCATCAGAAATGCGTCATAACATTCCAAAGATCCAAATTACTTCCGGCACTTTGCAAGCGATATAATCTAAATATGCCATGTGCATAGTATGCGCTTCTCGCTGGGGCTGGTTGCAGCAATAGACCTCAAAAGACCAAGCTCAAAGTCTGTAACAATTACACTAGGTTGGCGATGTGATAAAAACTAATTGATCTATCTGGATGAGAGACCAAGTGAAAATTGAATCCGTCTTCAATATCATGAAACAAACGGCAGCCGAAAAGGAGTGGTTGTTTGATGTCATACTAATCATGTGTAGTAGTAGGAATGCAGAAACGACTGGTCTTGCAAATGAAGTCGACCAAATTACACCTGGAAACTCCTTAATCAACTCTATCGACTTTGTAGACACAGTGAAGAGATAAGTTGTCGAGCCTTCTGCATTCCGCTGGTATGCATGCAGCACATCGCTTACATGGACGTTATCGAGAAGCAGCTCAGTGGGAGTGCGCCCTTCACGCTCGAGATTTTAGAGGAACGCCTTCTAAATGTCCTTCACTACTGACGGAGAATCTCCATCCTGCTGCCGTTGGGTCAGCAAGTATAGCTCCTGGTGCACATCTAACTCTTGACATGCCTAAAACGGTTGCTTTGTGATCTGCTGAAAGCTTCCTTACAGAAGCATAGACTGTCGCATTTTTGCAAATTTCATACTTGCTGCTTCCATTAACTATTGAGACGCTCCACCCAGGTATTCGAAGGTCACTTTTTAGTAGTTTGATTTTATTAGTGACTGAAAACGGGTGTGTGTTTCTGCGTGTGAAAGTTTTGCGATTTTTGTTTGCATCAGTCATTTAATTTGAATATTTCTCATTCTGGAGTCCATGGGTAAATTCAAACCACACTTTTCGCGCATTTTTAAATGTCCTTGGATAATTTTGACCTCGATCGCTGCGTTGTGAATTTTAAAACACGCCCATAAGCATTAGTTGTGCTCTCTGCGGCCTCTGCGGCCTCCCAAACCGTACCTGTAGGCGGTGGCTCAAGCATCTACGCAGTATGTATCGAGACGTTCAATACGTGGGTCAAACAATTAGAATAAAAAGTCATCAAAATATAGATCATCGACAAGAGTTCGCCGCGAATCGTAGCCCTGTAAATACTCCATCACGAGCCAACTTTTTTGCGTACGGAATTTCCGGGATACGCACCTTTAGCCGCGTGTGTCTATAAAGCGCAACTGAAACAAGTGATCAGGAAGAACGCTAAGCCAAATTAGACCGATTCTTACTATGCCTTTTTTACAACGTACGTGAAGTGTAATGAGGTGAGGAGAGGGGTGTAAATGGTATCCAAATCATGTATTGCACTGACATTGGCTCCCTACCTTTCATCCTACCTAAGAGCACCGGTTAAGTAAGATAATTATAATGTAACTCAATTTAGGGGGTGTCCACGTAGCAAGTAGGGGCGAGGTCTACCCAGTCATTCCCCTTATATTTTCTGGACTAAATCGGGCATATTTTTGTTTTCCTATAATAATCTCCTGTCAATAAATCCTCTGCAATCTTCGTCTACTAAACTTGATACACATTTGTATTGTGATCATGCGCTCACCACTATTTACTTTCTTCTGTCGTGGATCGGTATGATTGGTTAAAACACTTATCTAGATCAACCAATGAACAGGGTATTGCTGCAGTAGTGCAGTATTATCTAATAAGATAGTCTGATAAGAACACCGTGTTTCTTCAATGATATTCAAGCACTTAATTTCTATCTTTTGTAAAGCGTCGTGAAACGGAGTCAATCCAAAACAATCTACATCAACAGGTCGACGTTTAAACCAACATTGAAAGCATCATGCAGAGAATCTAACGGCGTGATGGTCGCTGATCCGTCGCATTGATGTAGGTGCCACAGGCGATGCGTATGCTTGTGGCGATTGACGACAGGTCTTTACGTTGTGCCCTTGTTATCCATAGCAGACACATCGTGGACGTCGCTTAGGATTCAATTCATTTCCTACATGCTCAAAGTAGGATAACTTGCGGCGTGTAGAGCCTGTTGGGTGCCCGCGCCTCCTTACCAAAACAGGTTCTCGAATGTAACATCCGGATGAGCGCTAGCATGATCGTATCGCATCATTTGCTGATGTCTGTCAGTCTAGCATACCTGTCACGAAGTCCTTTCGACACAGCTTCTCAATCGACAGAAATATTTGTGACTGGTTCGGCGTCAGCCCTTCAGTGAAGGTTTGAACAGCCGCCAATGCTAGAAAAAACTTCTTCGGTCAACAGCCGTCGCCATGATAACGTGATGACGACAAGGATGGCCCATGTGATTAATTATCGTATTTGACAAGGTCCTGGCTTATGTCCCTTACGACATTGAAGATGATGGGCTTCTAGTACACCTGGGATAGAAATTTAGCCCATCCATGTTGCAAATGGGCGTCCTAGCTGCATCGAAAGGATTGTGCATTCCCTTGAGTTTTGATGGCGGACAAATAAGTTGACCTTGGCAAGCAAGCCCACAGCTGTGTCTACCGAATATCAATCGCCTAAGGGCAGTTTTTATAATAAGTGTTTAACTAATCTAGACCAACATATTGCTGCTTACCTGTGAATATACTCAACCACTTCTTGACAGCCGCATGCGCGCTCTCGATACCTGACCCTGTCACATGCCCGTTAAGATTCGATGTTGCAGGTGAAATGTGATGAATGCACATTACTTTTACGAAACACAACAACATAATCTGACCATCTAGAGGCTGGTGGGTTGTCAAAGTGTCCCTTAACTGAGTTGACGCTAAATTCTGTCCAATAAAGCGCGCCTGTGTCCCCATCCGAGCGTATCTGCGCTAATCGATGAAGCCAGTATCCCACCCACTTCGCGACCCGTGTATTGGTCGAAATAAGCAAAAACAATCAAGTGGATGAGTCAGTGTCACAACAAGCAGATCCCCAGTCGACCCATTATCATCCTTCTCAATCCTCCCGCATCATCTATCATCTTTCGAAAGCATCACTTACGCCAGGGTCCCTCAACGCAGGACAGCCATTGCTTCTGTAGCCATTAGGAAACCAAAGCATCTCACTCCACGTCGTCCATCACCATGTTGCGTCGCTTCGCTGCCCACTGCATCTCCACGACCCGCGGCCATGCCCGTGGCAGCTGCCAACCCCTGAACAGCCGCGGCCTCTCGACCTCGGAGCTCTACAAAAATCCGCGGAGCTCGAAGTTCTCCATGACGAAGATCGTCGCCACTGTCGGGCCCGTGTCCGAGCAGAAGGCGACGCTGCAGCAGCTCACGAACGAGGGACTGCGTATCATGCGCATTAACTTCTCCCACGCTGAGTACGACGAGGCGCTGCTCCGGATCCAGAATCTTCGCGCGTGTAGGGGCGTGCACGCTCAGGGGCAATCCACTTTCAACCTGCGCGCGGTGCTGCACGACACCAAAGGTCCTGAGATCCGAACGGGAAAAATGCTCGATGGCAAGAAGATCTTCCTGGAAAAGGGCAAGACGGTCGTGTTGACGACGGACGCTGAGTTCGAGCTCAAGGGCACGGCCGACAAGTTTTACGTGACGTACAAGCAATTGACAGAGACGGTCAAGGTGAACGACACGGTGCTGCTGTCCGACGGATTGATTCGACTCACGTGCGTGGCCGTGGGCAAGGGAGAGATCACGTGCACAGTTGAGAACTCGGACGAACTGGGCAACCAGAAGGGAGTGAACCTCCCTGGGTTGAAGATCGACTTGCCAGCTCTGTCCAGTAAAGACAAGCGTGACTTGGACTGGAGTGTCAAGAACGACGTGGACTTCATTGCTGCATCGTTTATCCGCAAAGCAAGTGACGTGAAGGAGATCCGCACGTTCGTCGACGAGTGCGTCAAGAAACATTGGACGCACGAGCCCACCTACATCGCGCCCAAGATAATCTCGAAAATTGAGAACTTGGAAGGAGTCGAGAACTTTGACGAGATCCTGGACGCCTCGGATGGCATCATGTGTGCTCGTGGCGATCTCGGTGTGGAAGTGCCTTTACAGAAGGTTCTCACCTACCAGAAGATGATGGTCGACAGGTGCAATGCCGTTGGAAAGCCCGTGATTGTAGCGACGCAGATGCTCGAGTCCATGCAGACCAACCCGCGTCCGACGCGAGCTGAAGTTTCGGATGTCGGCAACGCCGTGCTTGACGGTGCCGACTGTGTTATGCTCAGTGGAGAGTCCGCTCAAGGCAAGTACCCGATTGAGTCTGTGAGCACGATGACATCAGTGATCAAAGAGGCTGATGAGCTGCTGCTGCAACCGGCTTATCGAGCCAAATTCCAGTTTGATCCCCCGACGTCGGATGTCGAGTCTGCTGTGTCGTCAGCCGTCAAGACTGCGAATGAGATGCACGCTCAACTGATGATCGTGCTGACCCGCACGGGTTACACGGCCCGCAAGGTGGCCAAGTACAAACCCACGGTGCCGGTCATGTGCTTTACGACTGACAAGAAAGTTGGCCGTCAGCTTCAGATCCATCGTGGACTGTACCCTGTTGTCCCCGACACTTTCGACCACGCACCGACCACTGCTGAAGCTATTGCCCATGCCAAGAAGATGGGGTGGCTGTCTTCAGGCGACCGCGTTGTCTTAATCAGCGGCGACAAGCTCTCGGACGATCTTGGTCGAGAAATCCTCATTGGGGTTGCTGACGTCCAGTAAGTTTGGCTCGATGGATGCCCACATCAAAGGTGGTAGACCTCGTGCAGTTTGAGTCACAAAGAGAGACGAGTTGCAGTATAAATTGGCCCTTGCATCGGTTTGAGTTTACAATTGGTGCTGCTTTCTATTTGTAATGCTGATATCCGATCGCGCTATATGCTGTAGTCGTCACTATCTGAGAATAAAGCTGACAGTTTTGGTCAAACGGAATTTGATATGAGTGCTCGTACGACCAGCGACTGCTTCGTAGCGCAATCCTAAAGGTAGGATATTGCCTTGTTCCTGTGTGTAATTTATTTAAAGGTGGTAAAGCGGCAATCGATATATTAGTAGAGCTTAACTCTCTGTGTCAACTATACGCCACCATACCTGCTGTACGACAAGGTGAATGGTGTAGGCTGCTGTCTCACGATCAATTTGGAGATACTCGTAGATCGATCCGATCTTTTGTCATTTTTAGATTTTCACAGACAATTAAATCTTGATTTTTGTGGCTGGCAATTGGGATTCTAATTGCCTATCCTGTATATGACATAGGATGAGCTCGTTGCAGTCGTATCGCTACACGGATTTCGGATAAACACTAATCCACTCGAGGACTGGTCTATGCTTCTTGTCAGTTTTTCAAACTTCGCTATTTCTATCAGATTAATTAAAGCTGACTAGATTTGGCGCACCAAAAGTAGAAAGAGAGATGTTACGTCTTTTTATAAGTCAGACTCACCGCCTGTGGCGGGTAGCAGCTTATACGTGGCTGGACACACACTGACCTACTGTGCCCATATTTGTATCATGGAGTAAAACAGGAATAAAAGAAGACAGATTAACCTTGCTATGCTCAAGGGGCGGCTTAACCGGATCCAAAATTTGGTGGTTTTTTTTGGGATAAGCGTTTGCACTAACCCAGCATATGATGGTGGTATAAAGCGGTGATGCCAGCGCTAGTGCAGAACATCGAGTACCTATTCCAATCCGTGCAGTAGTTTTACTGTTCAAATAGATAGCAGTACACAAGACAAACTATATCTGTAGTACGGGTAAGCAACATTCATACCAATCTTTTCCTGAAAGCGGCACCCCAACGTGCGCGATGCTGTTTGCTGCGCAGCTACGTCGTTCCAGCACCGTCATTATGAGCGGCGTCTGTGTCGTTATAATAGCCCGACGTCCCGTGCCGATGCTCCAGTATTTTGACAGTCACTTGACACCCGTCAGGTCTGCGGGAGAAGCTCCTCCTAATCATCCTAGACCCTAATAGCTGGCTATAACCAACTGGTAATCTTGTTCAACTTCATCTCCCATGCAGATGCCGCCGCGAAGTGTGCAATCTATTAAAAGAACTGCAAGTCCACCGATTTGAAAACGCTCGTGACATTGCGGTGACGTTGTCGTCTGACGTAACGCTTGCAATTATGCAAAGAATGCTGTCTTCCTCTGTATCAAATCTCGTGCCGCACCGTGCACTATCCCGCCAAGCACTTGACTTGGCGTTTACACACATAACGGAGCGATGTTGGGGCCACACGGATGCCTGTCAGTACACATTTGTTTGATCCAACTTGCGAAGAAAACTATGACTTGTAAATTCAATCTGAGCGTCATGGAAGTTGCAATCCTTCTTGTCGTTACCACCTCTTAGTTTTTTTTAGCGCTGCTTGCGCTGGTGATCAAATCGGCAATCGACTGGTTAAAGCAGACCTGAACAAGCACTTTGGCATGTCGCCAAGGCAAGCCTAGCGATACAAGGCGTGGAAAACAAGTCACCAAGCTACTGAAGCGAGCACGGCTAGATTCTTGTGGTCATGGGAAGGTATGTACAGCGGTCTTCACGGTAGTATTCCTTCCGGAATGACAGATGGAGTCACGCTTGATGGGAAGACTGATCACCGAAAGACGAGGTTGGTCTAGCTGGCACGTGATTTGATGGGTGTCTCAATCTGCAGTCAAATAGTCTCGATTGATGAGAAAAGGTCTAGTGTCTTATGTCTTACCGTTTCGAGACTTACTTCCATCTGTAGCTCCAGCTGGGATGCATCGCCGCTCTCCCACTTGTCGTGTATGTTGGTTGTGTTTTTTTTTCTCTTCACGCGCTCACCCTGCCACCACCTCACTATCACTTTAGCTACCACAACGATGAAAGGCCGATTTATCGTCAATCCCTTTCAGGAACTTCATTTGACATCGAATGACTGTACATCTCTTGAAGACCTGGCGAACCAGTGCATCTCGACCAACCTCGAGCTCTACACAAAGTTCACGTCGGGCACGAAACGAAGCGTGGACCCAAGCCACTGGAAGCCCCTCAAGGAGAAAGAAAGACTCAAAGTGTACTCGGAACGACCTTCAGGCGTAGCTGCTGCTGCGGCTTCTGGTAATGAGCCGACGGGGTCGGGCCTCCCCATGATCCTGTGCGTCGGCACCATGGAAGGCAAATTAGACGATCTTTTGTTCGGTGTCATCAGCGAAGACCTCGAAACAATGCGCTTGAAGGCTTCGTACGTGGCAGATTTCAGTGGAGCCGCTGTGCTTGATTCCGTGGTGCTACCGACTTTGGAAGACCCGTTTCAGTCGCTGGTGATCAAGTGGATGGAGCTTGACATTCCTTTCAGCTCAACGAGTCTGGTCAAGAACCGTGACTACGTGTACCTTGAAGGCACAGGTTATGTCACCAACTCGAGAGGTGAGCGTATGGGTTATCACCTCCTGCACTCGGTGAACTTTGCACAGACGCACGGATTGCCAAACCGCGTTCGAGGCAATCTCTCTATCATCGCCTTCTGGCGACAGATCAGTGCCAACACGATCGAAATGTATGCGACTGGCGTCATGGATCCAGCCGACGCAGGTATCGTGCGCAAGCTCGTGGTTCCAAACATGGCCAACGTGTTTCTTTCGTCGTTGAGGTATGCCTACTGCGGGCAGATGCGAAAGCTTTTGTTCATGCTCGAGAAAGCCTACACGGACTCAAAATTGCGCGGCACTCCCAACAGGAAGAGCATCTGCGTCACGTGCTCGACGCCCATCAGTGGTCGGAAAGTTGGGGACTTTGCCAAGAGCAACAGCACGTGCAAGATTTGCTTTGGCTTTGTCTGCCATGCATGCAAAGTTGTCCGGAAGCTGAGTTTTGTGGATCCGGATCTACTTCTGTCACAGCGCAAGGTCACATTCTGCACGTCGTGCATCAGCTCAGTCACCAGCGTTAGCTCTGTGGACTGTGCTCGCGCGCAGATGCTGAAGCACCACAAGGCGAGTCACTCTGGTACAGACCAAATCTTGTCATCGAATGACAACAGTGGAGAATTCTCCTACGCTAGTACACAGTAGATGAAGATAGTAGTTTGATAGTGTTGGCTGATGTACAATGCAGGATGTCGAGACAGACTTGTTATTAATCTGGTACCCGTAAATTCACAGGATTTCTATTCCTACTCTTTGTACGTCCTAGGTATCCTCCTCCTGTAGTACATGCAAATGATCAACTCGCAACAGAACGAATTGACGAGCATTTGTCGTCGTGCCAATCACGATTTACAAGAGCGGAAGCAAGGAAGGATGAAAAGAATCAGTTCTAAGTTGTGCAGGCAGTAGCAGGACCGTATGCTAGTACACGAGTTAGCATAGCTCTGCTTCATCTGAGGGAACCATATCATGATACTACGCCAGCATTACTCCGATTACCATGGCAAATGTCAGGCTGGACATTCTAATGCTCAGCCGCACTCGCGTCTTGATCCTACGTCGTGCTTCACACGAATTCGGTTCATCTAATTTCACTTGGCTCAATCCTTACTCGCGTCATTTCTGGCTTGCCCTCTACTGCACTCGTCCTAGACAATGTCGCTGTAGCCTTCGACGTAGCCTTGTCACAACGATTGTAACAGTCTACATTCGCAGCTACACCGACTTCACTGAAGGCCCACGTGCCATATTGCAGTACGTAAGGCTCGTTGTGAGAAAGAAATACACACGAGAACGAACGGAATGCATGATCTAACGATCACGTTGGCGGTTGAGGGGAATGTAAGCCAGATCGGTCGACGTCCGACTAGCAACACAACATACACCTTAGTGTCGAATCACGGCTGATATGCCGACCATACTACGTGGATATCGGTGACGTGTTTGACGTCAACGTAGCATAAGAAAGGTCAAAGCATAGCAAATTCTAATCAAACTGTAGCAAATGTGAACGACGAGAGACTCAACTTCTGTAACGGACTTTCGTATGGTACTCGAGATTACGGTCCGCAATACGTCGTTGTCCGCGATGTTCAAATTTGTTACATCATACGTGCCTTAAATGACTTTGCATCCTTCTCGTCTTCATCCTCTCTGATAATGCTACTCGCTGTACGCAAAAAGCCTTACGCACGCTCTGAATCTGAAAGTGTAGAAGATGATGCAGCCACAACATTATAGCAAGGTCAGGATGTAATCTACACCAGCAAGGCATCAAAAAGAAGGCAACACATGGCTGTTTCGGTAAAGTCTCTTAAAACCATCTAACGTTCATCCAGATTCTGAGAGCGATGTCAGGACAGAGTACGACTCGGCATGCGACTAGTATATACTTTTTACATAGCAACATAACGATGACAAAACCAACACTATCCGCTGACACTCACAAGAGTGGTGAGAGTGCTTCTGCGATATCCATTCGTTCTAAATCGCTCACACATTGAGGTCGTCCGAAAGGATGTCAGATCCGGAGAGGGACGCCATCACATTGTAAGCTTGATATCCCTCGGCTTGATCACATGCAGCCGACAATGCGTCCATCTGCGTAACTTCGCTCATGCACATGACGCAGAACGTAATTTTGTGACGCAGTAGTTTTCCGTTCGGTGCGAGGAAACTGATTCCCTTGGGTCGTTTGCACTTGAGGCACACATGGTTCAGACAGAGCTTGCAAACGCTCTTCCCGATAGCCCCCACTCTCGGAAGACCGAAACTTCCAGGTGCGAGATTTCGCGCACAAGCGCCACACGAATTATTCCCTGCCAGTACATTGCGAGTACTCTTCCGGTGTTGAGTACAGTGAGTCTCGGCGTACCGATGCTGCAGTCGCCACGTCAATTTCTTGGCTTGTCCACAAATCACGTAGTTTGTCGTGGAAAGCAAAGCCTTTGCCGAAACTTCAAGTGCGAGTGAGCGGAACACTTTGCCACCTGGATGCACGTTATCAAGGGCGAAGGTGTCGATGATATTGTGACTCATTTGCCGGTAAAAGCCGATGATCTTGTGTCGAGCACGAATCGTTCCCGGTAGTGGTTGGGTACACGGAAAGTCGATGGAGTGCAGGAGCTGGTAGCCGACACGATCTCCATTTGCAAAATGCAGAATTCCCGTAGCTTCAAGACAGACAAAGTCTCGATTCTGGGTCAGTCCAGTCTGATTGAGGGGTAAGTTGATCTGAGTCCATTTGACCGAGACGGACCGGAACGGATCTCTGACTGTGGGGACAATGATATTGGCCAATACAGCTCCGTCGCTGTAGTCTTTCACGTACGACGCCTTGACCCGCATGATCTCCTGAGTCGGGTTCACCGTGCCAAACATGAGGTCATTTAGCTCGCCTTCAAACGTGCCCACAGCAAGAATGAGAGGCATGTGCTTTTGCCAGCTATCTGCTGGATCCTGACTCGGCGGTTTTTCGGGAGCCAAGTCATCGCTCCAGCCTTTGCGCTCTGCGTAGACATGCAGATTCTTGTCTTCACCAATTGCTTTCCACTGGGCGCGCTTCACAATTCGGTTGTCATCAAGGACAAACGCTTCGTACTTTGGGAAGATTTCGAGGATCAAGTCTCTTTCGAGCTGCAACAACTCGATTCGGTCTTCGTCCGAAAGCACGAGGTCTGGGTACGGATCGGAGGTAAATACTGGGACTTTGCCCATGACGGTTCCTCGTTAGTCTTTTGAAGTGAGTTGGTTGCTAGAATGCAATTTCAACTCTGAGAGACATTTCACGACGTGGATCGATTGTGGTGCTGGCTATGATGGGACTATTGTTCGAAGCAAGCAGACGGCTCATAAATTCTATGAATGTCGAGACTGCTCATGTGAACCCTTTGCTTTGCGATTGATGAATGAGTACTCGTTAGGGGCACTATTGTAGTACGTGTGTACGTCAGGACTGCACCATCTCGATTGCTCAGACGAGTAAAAGTGCAGTGGTGGTACAACTTCAGGTCTGCGATACACGTCTAGCAGGGAGATAGTAGGGGTGTGATGTGCAAGCTTAGGTACCTTGAGGTGTGTAAATCTACGCTGATGAGTCAAATTCTTAATTCTTAATCTATCAATCGATCTGAATTCGACATCGCGAAGATATCGCGGCTATACGTGAAACGGGTAAATGACAAATGCAGGAACCATCTTACTATGGTAGATCGAGCGGATAAGAGCAATTACTTTAGTGGAATGCCACAAGCATTATTATGGGTCAGGAAAGGACGTATTGCTTGGATAGAATTACAGATTACAGGCTTCAAAAGTACGGCAATATCGTCCTGAAGCCTTAAGCTTTGAAATTACAATCTCAGTCTTGTCTGTAGCCTAACTTCATAGCATGAAGTTCGTCTCGTGACAATGTTTAGATCGATCGGAGCCATGAGCTTAACGGCAAAACGCTTGACCTTTGCCATCAGTGTGTACTCACAAGTTTAGTATCTCCTTTTCGGTCGCGATCGCAGTTTAGCACGAAGAACTACATATTGAGCTTTTTTTGCGGTCCAGGTAGAAATGTGCTCGACAACACTAGCCAAGCCATAAGCAGCCCCAGTAAGCCCACGATCAGCCAGAGTGCGATAGAAAATAAAGCCTTCAAACGAGGTTTTAGCCTTAGAAAGTCAGAGAACACTTGGCGATGAGACACAAGAAGGTCAGTATGCGTACTTCATTGCTAGTTGCATCAAAAATAGTGGTATTGCATTTTTGCTTAAGTGGAGGCCTTAGAAACGAATACGTAGCCCATGCAAAATCGATAAACACCTGTGTGTGCGATGATGCAGGCCTGTCTGAACTTCCAGGCTAGCCTATCGTACTTCAAGAGATAAAGTATCCATCCTTTACATTGGATCGTACAGCCTTTACGCTATCAGCAGCAAAAACGCTACCTTGTAGATGTCGTAGAGCCTACACTTGTATTTCCCGCAGCTCATTACCGCAGACACGATGACACGTGAATCGGGCAGCAAAATAATTGCTTGCTTAAGCTAGTGACATGCTACCCGCAACCAAACCTTGTGGTATCAATTGTGTGCGATTGTCTCGTACATGGAGGTGACGTGGTGACGTCAGCAGCAATAGGTGCTGGTAGCTTCATGTCAAATCGTAATATGATCGTCACACTTATACTACAAGCCAATCCTGGACTTCTCACGTCAGGACACTACCACTGGAGCACCTATCGGCAGTGTTTTGCCCTGATGATAGGCAATTATGGACCATGTCGCCTCCACATCAACGTGAAGCTTTAAGGTCATCACAGTCTGACTGTCAATCTCATTGTCCGTTAGGTATAAACCAGATGTGTACGATGCGGTGTGTCCTTGACCAAGTCGCGCACAAAAAGGAGCAGCTCGAACGCCAGCCCGCGCACGTACGTCATCTCGGCGGTATTGTCAGTAACAAAAAGACAACATCAAGTTTTTTCAATACTCGCAGCTGCAAAGATGTCTTACGAAGCTAGGTCAACAAGTATTGGATGATCCGATCCGCAACATCGACAGAATCAAAGGCAGTTTCATCAAGTCTACTAGGAATGTGCATACAAGAACGTGCGTCAAGAAGAGAAAGCGTAAGTGACGCAGAGATCTAAACCTGGAAACAATCCATATCCCTTATCGAAAAAGTAACTCGCGTCGTATGTAGGTGAGTAGACAAATGCATAATGTCATTGCAGCGCCCCAATCGGACTGTCTCATCATGTCAGGTCGATTGCAGAACCATTTCCTATTGACAAGAGACATATTCTCCTGCGAGCTGACATCCGTGCGAGAAGACACGAAATTTTATGCGCGTGCAACTTAACAACTGCACAAACACATTGAACCAAGGGTCCAGATCCGAAGTCGTCTTAACGTTTAACAAGAAACTACACTTCGCTAGAATGGCAAATAACTCCCTCTTTGTATGACAAACTAAAAGCACACGAAGCAGTATTTGACAACTATCTTGCCAATCACAAGCCACTACACTATACATGCACCGTAAAACACAACCACCTAGCAAGTGTTGTAAGGCCGGTAGCCATCGGCTTGGTCGCGTGCTGCGTCCAAAGCGTCTACTCGAAAGCCCATCGTAATACACGCACTGCAGAAGGTGACCTTGCGTCGTACTACCTTGCGATCTCGGGTGAGGAAGCTCATGGTCTTGACTTGTTTGCACCCGAAGCACAACTCACCCAAGCACATCGAACACTTGTCCTTCCACAGGTGCTTGATGACACCTGGTTGCACGTCGCGATTGCACGTGACGCAGAAGTCTTCACAGCGTAACAGTGGTGCCACGTTCCCCACGCCCAACGAGATCTGTCGTTTTTGGAGCATCCACGTGAGCTTCTTCATCAATCCACACTCGACGTAGTTTGTGGCTGACAAAAGCGCATTGGCGCATACTGGTAACAATAGCGAATCCATGATCGCGCCACCCGGATCGACTGAGTCAAAGGCGAACGTGTCGATGACATTGGGAGCAATTTGCCGGAAGAATCCAGTGATGTAGTGCTTTGCACGCACAACATTGGGGAGCGGTTGCACAAGTGGTGAGTCAATTGAGTGCAGCATCAGGTAGCCGACCCTCTCTCCATTCGCGAAATGAAGGATACCCGAAGCTTCTAGACAAAGGAAGTCTCGGTCTTTGATCAGCTTTGTGTAGCTTAGAGGAAGATCAATTTGTAGCCACTTGACTGTCACGGAGCGGAACGGATCGGCTGGCGTGGGCTTGACTAGCGTAGCCAGCACCGCCCCATCACTGTAATCGTGGACATACGAAGCTTTGACTTGCATGATGTCATCGGTCGGGTTCACTGTGCCGTACATGAGGTCGTCCAGCTGCCCCGTGAACGTGCCAACGCTCAGCACAACAGGCTTTGATGTGCCCGTGCACTTCTCTTCTGGGGAGCGACAGCACTGTGTACTGGTTTGCTTCCCCTTTGACCCGTTGGTGCGTTTCACATAAATGTGGAGATCGTCCTTGGACTTGACGTGTTTCCAACGCGCCAAGTTCACTTGCGAGTTGCTCAGGACAAACTTCTCATACTTCTGGAAAGTGTCTTCCACCAAGTCACTCTCAAGCTCGAGCAGAGTGCGTTGGTCTTTCAACGTAAGTGGCAGCGGATGATACGGGCTCATGTTGAAGCGCTCTTTAGGCATCTTCCAGCGTATTGTGTTGTGGTGGACAAGGCGGCCCTTCGCCAGTAAACGACCGAACCTGTATCTATCATAACTGCTACTCTGTGAATATCGACGCGTGGGGCGTGTATGGTATCAATAAACAATGTGTATCAAGCTGGGCGGTAGCCGAGCCTCTCTCGTCGTCGATCAGCTCGCTGGCGATCCACCACAATCAAAGCTTTTTGCTGTACCTCTTGGTGTCTTCAAAGCTTTGACGTACGTCCATCGTGTCGAAGCTCAGGGCGACAAATGCTTATTCGAGGACAAGAGAGTGGCCAGTACGGTATCGTCCTTCCAATGGCCCGCCACGAGCGACTTGTTCCGTCTGTAGTTGGGTGGGGACGGGAGCACAAGCGTGATGACGCAGACTTATTTTCACCGGCTTACCTCTCTCTGCCAGCCGTTGATTATTTGGCAAAGCTCTATTAAGCGCTTTATCGCCAATCTGAAGGAGCTACAGATTTAGAATGCATGAATAGGGCGGGACAAAGCACTTTCCAACCACATGTTGCCTTGTCTCTCCTCATTAGCGGCGCACTTAGAACCGCATGCAATTCGACTTAGACTTGTCGTTTCTGACGTACCCTGAGGTATCTCTTGAAGTAAGAATGGGAACAATAGTACCTACAAGTGTAAGACGTTCGTCAGTGTCAAATACGCTCTAAAACGCGCTGACTTGGTTGGTACCTTGAACTCGCGTCATCATCTAGATGACGCGAGATGAGGCGGATGGGCTCTTGTCCTTCTTAATCTGCGTACCGCCTGTCTACCAAGACGTCTGTGCCTTTCACCTCCTTTTTACTAATAGCTTCACCATCTCTGGGCCACGAATGACTTGCGCTCTCGCGTCTGTCTGCTCGTTAGCGAATCCGAACGATCAGAGAAACTTCTCAATCAAGATGGTGAGTGCGTCTTTTCTACCACGTTAGTGTCGCTCAGAACGCCAGTATCAAATTCACCACCTCGAAGACAAGTGGCTTAACCCACTTGAATCTTCCACATAATGTTGACGTGGTTGCTTGACAGCGATGACCCTTTCAAGCGGTTTGGACTCTTGATGCTCGGCATCGTCGTCGGTGCCACCATAGCCGTGCAATGTCTGCCAAGTGACAATACTGACAAGAAACTCGTCCAGCTAGGAGCGAACGTCACACCTGGCGCACGTAGACCAGCACGCGTGCCCTTTCTCCCTTCATCCATCCCAGTCGTAGGGCATGCTGTGTATATGGCCTATTACGCCAATAGGTTCTTCGAATGGACCACGGACATCTTTCTATCGCGCAAGGGGGCACCCTTCACTTTGAGCCTGCCATTTCAACGTGATCTGATCCTCACTGCCAACCCGGAGCACTACGAGCACGTCATGAAGACGCAATACGACAACTTTCGTAAGGGTGACCACATCTACGACCTGCTGAAGGACTTACTTGGCGACAGCATCTTGATCGTCGAAGGCGACGAGTGGAAATTCCACCGTCGCGTGTTTGTCAACCTCTTTAGTTCTTACGCCCTGCGAGAGCACATGGCTCCCATTATTCAGAAACATGTCCGCGTTCTGCAGCACGTGCTGAATGCTGCTTCGAAGACCCAAGATCCCGTCGACCTATTTACAATCTCAGGTCGATTCACACTAGACGCGTTCGGGGAGATCGCGTTTGGCTTTAACTTAACCACCCTGACACTGAAGCACGAACACCCGTTCGAGCGGGCGTTCGTGGCCGCCCAGCACATTGCTGCCGCCCGTCTTGTCCAGCCAACGTGGTACTGGAAGCTCAAGCGCTTGCTCAATGTCGGGAGTGAGAAGCGATTTTGCGAAGCATTGACGACCGTCGACCACTTTGTCATGGACGTCATCTCCAAAACCATGGCCAAACGCAATGCAGCCCCCGACAATGTCAATGAGGACGGCAAGTGTCGCAGCCGAGATATCGTGTCTCTCATACTCGCCAATGAGACGGTCGATGGGAAACCAGTGGACCCCATTGTTGTCCGCAACATCGTGCTCATGGCGTTGATTGCTGGACGAGATACAGCAGCCGACGCCCTCGCGTGGATGTTCCACTTGCTCACTCTCAACCCTCGAGTCGAGAATAAGCTGCGTGTTGAGCTGCTGGAGAAGCTGCCAAAGCTTGGCACAGACTTTGACTACGTCCCTGACATGCAGGACGTGCATGGATTAGTGTACTTGGAAGCGACAATTTGCGAGGCTCTGCGCCTCTACTCTCCTGTGGGATTTGCGCAGAAGCTGTGTGTCCGCGATACCGTCTTTCCAGACGGCACGTTTGTGCCGAAAGGAGCTAATATTGCTCTCGTGTATTATGCCATGGCCCGGATGCCAAGCGTTTGGGGTGAAGACGCCGCGTCCTTCGTGCCGGAACGGTTCATTGATGCCAAAACAGGCGAGATGCTCAAAGTCTCGTCTGGCAAGTTTAGTGCCTTCAACACGGGACCTCGCGTGTGCGTCGGGCAGAAGCTTGCGATGATGGAGATGAAGATGGTTCTGACGTGTGTCGTCAGTCGCTTCCATTTGGATGAAGTTCCAGGCCAGGAGGTCGCATGCGCGATTGGACTTACTATTGGCATGAAGAACCCGCTCATGATGCACGTAAAAAAGCTTTCAAGCGCTGATAACGTTGTTGTAGGAGTTGCGGCTTGATTTCTGTATATGTACAGAAGGATTAGTGAGTAAATGACAATATAAGGTGTGTACGAGGTCGGAAGCTGTAGGATTTGTTTGGCAACTTTCTACCACAAATTTTTGGAGTGATCTAAGAGGGGTATCTTGGCGCACTTTTGTCAAGCAATGTAACGGTAGGAGCCCGTTATTAAATTTGATGATTCATGTCAATTCGAATACTCGTCTTAGTAGATAGTATCTGCAACGGTGTCACATTAACGTTTAATAGAATTGGTATGGTGTCGTGTGATCCACGCATAAGGAGATCATTCATGCTGATATGCGTATCATTGTACCCAATACGCTAAGCGGTAATACCGTACCTTATCGATAGGGCTAGATGGTTTCGATTGCAAAGGGTATACTGAGGACGTTGGCGTACTGGCGTCGCCACACCAGAAATACATCGACTAGGATTCCTAGATCAGGAAGCAAAGTGTCAAGGTTAAAGACGGAAAGGAGGTTTAATATCGCTATAAATTATTAAATGTATTCAGTACCCGTTTCGATCAGTTTCAGACACGTGTTCTTCTGAGACGTCTTGGACGTACGAGTCAGGAGCCTGTATTGAGGCTAGTACTCTTAGGCATTAGTGTCGCATTATTACATGGATTCGATAGTCCCTGAACCAGAACTAGAAGCTTACGAGCTGGTTAAATACCTGGAGGCAGTCTTACAAAGTTATAGATGACTAGATACCCTCATAATTTATACCCATTCAGTTTAATATACTTTGAGACTCTCCGTGTCTGTTAGTATTCGTCTGAAAAGAAGAAAGGGCAGCTCCGCTACACCAAGTAGCACTTATAGAAAATCTACACCCGAGTCCTTTAATGTCCTTTCTCGTTAAGGATGAAGACAACAGAAACCTCTTTAAGGCCCAACAACTGGAGCTTAAGAAAATCAGATCGCTAGTCGGACATGGAAAAAGTGGATTTAATCCTTACACAAGGTCTAGAAGCGATTCGTGCAAGTCTTGACGCTTTTATGCAGTTTGAGCCTACTCTAATTGGATAAGTACACGATATTGCTCATCAGCTATGCATACTTGATATTTTTTAATACTAGATGAAGAGCCAAGGGCTCGCCTACCTGTCTTAACTGTAAAGACATTTGAGGAGAAGAGCCTCCTTCTGTGGACCAGAGAGGTGAAAATGACCATGAACTCCCTGATGGTTAATCATAGCGGCAGCGACTTGGGCTGGCTATCTCGAAATTGGGTAGTCGAGCCAGATAGTGGGCCTCAGGTGTAGCACATCTGTATATGAAGCTTTCCCCGCACTGGATATGCTTAGACAGCAATATCTAGAGTGTTTGCTCGCCTACTCAGGTATGTCGCGAGCGCTTTTCGCTTCTTATCTTCCCACAAGGGCAAAATATATCTAATTAACTATGCACAAGAGCTGAAATGTAACGGGGCACCCTGAAGCTTGTACTGGTGACAGTACAAGCTACTTATTCTGATGACAGAATAAGGCGGTGCCTCGTAACTTCACGTACACTCGTACGTGCAGAGGAAGACGGTAAGAAGAAGCGAGTACTTGGTCAAAGTAAAAAGTAGAACTGTATTTAGTATAGTTAATGTCTGCAATAAATCACTATTTATCTTCATCTAACTATGTCTAAATACAAATGTGTAAATCAGTTATCTGCTCACCACTCATTGCGTGCGTCTGTCGTGGCGCGTCTTCGTTGGTTGATATAATGGCCTATATCAACCAATTAGGAACTACTTGTAAGTGCTACAGAATATTTGTCCTTATGACAATATTCTGAGAATATAACTCTTATAGTTATATTCTATTAACAATTTCTTATAAATTGTTATGTAACGATTCACCCCGTTACATCACCCCCCCCTTAACCATCAGTCACTTTAGTGACTGATTGACTAAATGGATACTCGTCCCAAATCATTTGGGACAGGGTTTGCACTTGTTGGTCCGCGTCCACTTTCCAACATTTCATCGCATGGTTAACAAGCCCATGCGATGCGCGAGCAAGGCCTCCGAGAGCGCGTCTGCACGTCTCTGTGCGGACGCCGAAGCAGAAACAACAGCAACTGATGTCTCATCGGTTGTTGAAGCGACCCAGCCTGTGTCACTTGGTGATGCAGGCGCTGGTCATGAAGACACTCGTGTCTTCACAGAGTACGAGCTCGGTGTCTCGTACTCTCCTGATACGGATGACGGATCCGTATCGACGGCGATTGAATCCAAGCCGCCTGCTAAGCGTGGCATGGACGATGCTTTGCGTCGCAGCATCTTTGGTTCATCTGATTCATCAGATGAACCATCGCCGAAGCGAAGGCGCTCGAGGTCGCGAGACTCGGGCGCTAATAGTGGTGTCGGTTCTCCTATGGACACCACTTCACAGCGAGGTGCCAGTACTTCTGTCGGCACGTCGCAGGAAGAGCGGGACCGCAATGTGTTGCGTCTCGCTCCTGAGAAGAAGGCATGGATGCCTCCTAAATCAGTCATGGATCACTTGTCGGCGACGACGAGTGATCGTTATCGAACACGATTGTTCGATTCGTCAAGGATCCATCACCTTGACCCCAGCGCGAAAAACTATCACACTAAGCATGAATTCTTCATCGATGCTTTCTTTAGACATCGATGGTACAGTGGGAATCACAAACGTGATGGTCCCTCACTACTTCAGGCGTGGAACGCCTACATCCATAACCTCGAGGATGTAGGTCGTGACGCTTGGAACGACAAGCTTATCAAAGCTCGTAATAAGTTTGAAAAGCGGACCCCGACAGGTGCACGCTACAAGCTGCATCGTCTGTCAAGGGAGAAAGGATTACCCTGCCTCTCTTGGGGAGACTCGTGCCCATGTTGTGTAAACAACTCTGCACGAGGACCTAAGTAGGCTTATCTCCTTATTAGCCCGTGGTGGCGCGTACGTATCTCTACTGAGATGTACGAAGGGATTGACAACCTGAAATCCCTTTACGATCGTGCCGGGAAGACTTTCTCCAGCGGTCCTTCTGCGGCACTGGATGTGCCGCATCGTACTACTCGACCAGACTAAGTACGTCAACCATCAGTTGGGAGCGGGGCTCCCAAGTATCTCAGGACGGGGGATAGCCGCGCCACCGGACGAGATAACTCGTCCGACGTCCGTTCACGTCGCGGTTGTTCAACAGCTGCTCAATCAGATAGCGCTGGCCACCGCGAGAGTCGTCTAATGGAGGTGGAGGAGGAGGGAAGACGCTCTACACACAATCGTGGGGAATCGTGTGTTCCCGAGAGCTTCTTTGATCGCGTAACGCAAGGGTTACGCGGCGACCTCGAGCATGAGCGGGACAGGCGTCTTCAGCTGGCAGACACTGTCTTGAAGCATCGAGCTGAGTTTCCTTTTGCTCAGCTTGAGAACGAGAGAGCTCTGACGTCTCTGCGTGACGAGCTACGGGTAGCTCGTGGGATTGTTGATCGGTCTCGGGATGAGATAACTGCTCTTCAGCCCCTTGTCGATGCCCACCATCGGAAGCACAAGGCTCTCTGCGAGATGCTTGAGCGCAAGGGCGTTCTTAATCGGAAGAAGCAGCGTACTGATGGTACGACTTAAGCCGACCAACGTAAAACGTGGGATGCGTTCGCATCTTACGTGGCAGTTCGATCATGTATGCATTGCCTAGGCGGTGCGATACACGAAATGGGCCGATGTACTTGGGTAGAAGTTTACTGCTACCCAAGTTAGTCACTACATGCTTTGGTAGATTAACCGTAGACAGTAGGACTAAGTCACCTTTATTAAATAAAGAGTGTTTGCCCTTCCATTCTTGTCAGCGTTTTTCTTTTGCTTATCCACCGCTTCGGCGATGGAGTCTTGCACAAAACGGACTACCGTTTCATGAGCCAGTATGAACTCATCTGATGACTCGTTAGCTTCAGTGTGCTGTGAGCGCACTGCGGCAACATCAACCTTTTCTTCAGTGAGGGCTTCCGCACTCTCACTGGGATCATTGTCTTCAGTGAGGGCTTCCGCACTCTCACTGGCATCATCTTCTTCGATATCGATGTTATCGATATCGGCATCAAACGCAATGACTTCTTCGTCAGAGCGTGATGAGCGTGAACCAAATCGTTTTTTTCTCGCGCGAGTTCCCCCCCCTTAAACCAGAGTTACACCTAGTAAGGTGGGTACACGCGGATGGCGCAAGCCATTCACGTAAAACGGTGTATGTTTAGTGGACGCATGCACCGAGTTGTTGATGGCAAACTCTACCATTGGCAAAAACTCACTCCAACTCTTAAAGGAGTGTACGTATCCTCGAAGTATCTCTTCAAGGACACGATTGGCACGTTCCGTCTGACCATCTGACTCTGGATGATCAGATGTTGACATCTTCAAGCGCGTTCCGAGTGATTTGAACACGGAACGCCAGAAATCAGCAGTGAAGCGTGGATCTATGTCTGATACAAGTTCACGGGGCAACCCATGAGGTCGGAAGATGGTGTCAATAAAGACACAAGCACAGCCACTTGCCGTGATTGAATCTGGTACAGCCACTTGGTGTACCATTTTGCTGAATCTGTCAACAACTACGAGAATACCCGTATTCCCGCGTGCGTCTTTGGGTAACCCGAAGACGAAATCCATTGAGATGGATTCCCAGCACTCAGCTGGAACCGGTAGAGGCTGTAAAGGTGCACGCAGTGAAGGACTTGATTTCACTCGTTGACAGACTTCGCATGCGCGAACATACTTTCGCACAAACTGATACTGGCGGGGCCAGTAAAAGTCTCGACTTACCGTGAGATATGTTTTCTCTCGGCCACGATGTCCTCCTATAGGAGCATCGTGATACTCGAACATGATCCGCAAACGCAGATCAGTATCATCTGGAATGACAACACGTGGTGTGTCACCAGAAACGGCTGTATAATACAGTAACCCGTTGCGAGTAGTGTATCGATCTGATGCAGATCAATACGCAGACGAGATTCGTTTTAACTATTCTCGGGATGGCTGTGAGAGATGTGTCAACAACTTCACAATCTCACCATCTTGGGCGTATGCCCGCCTCACATCATCATGCAACGTTGAATATGGGACTGAGGACGTCATAACCGCAACAGTGGCTGTCTCACTGTTGGGTTTCGCGACTGTTTCAAAGTCGGGACGACGTGAGAGTGCATCAGCGACGACATTAAGTCGTCCTGGTTTGTACTCGACCGTAAAGTTGTATTTTACAAAGAATGACAACCACCGCGTCATTCGTTGTGAAAGGTGCGGGCTGTTCACTGCCGTGCGTAATGACGCATGGTCAGTGTAAACAACGAAGGGTCTATCTCCTAATAGATAGACTCTGAACTTCGCGAGTGCATACTTCATGGCAAGGAGTTCCTTGTCATGCACTGGATAGTTCCGCTCAGCTGGTTGCAGCTGACGCGACTGATAGCAGACGACGCGTTCAACGCCTTCAAAATCGTACTGCATTAATGCACAGCCGATTGCGAAATCGCTGGCATCACAGACCACATGAAATGGCCTGTCCTGATCGGCTATTGCTAGGACTGGGGATTGTATCAAGCTCTGCTTGATACCCTCAAAGGAGCGCTGACATTCAGCGTTCCATAACCACCTCTCGTTCTTTTTCAACAAACGAGAGAGGTGCACAGTCATCTCGGCGTAATTGCGTGAATACTTGTGCAAATACGCCGCTAGCCCAAGGAATTTTCGAAGACCTTTGACATCAACCGGCACAGGCCAGTCGGTGATCGCCTTGATCTTTTCGGGATCAGGACGTACACCGTTCTTACCAACGATGCACCCAAGAAGTGGTATTTCGCTTGCTGCAAATATACACTTCTTGAGGTTAGCATACAATTGATGCTTTCGCATGATTGTAAGAACCTGTCGGACGTGGTACCTGTGAACCTCAACGTCCGACTTTCCATCCATAGCCCGACTATGGATGAATACGTCATCGAAATAACTCGGCGCGAATTCTCGTACTGGTCTCAACAGATGTGATACACATCTGTTGAACGTGGCAGGGGCATTACTGAGCCCTTGTGGCATTACTAGCCATTCCCAGAGCATGCCGCTAGGCGTGCTAACTGCGGTATAGGGTATGTCTTGTTCTCAAATAAGGATTTGATAGAAGCCATCCATTAAATCCATGGACGAAAAGATGGTACTCTTTGACATACCATCAATGATTACGTCCTTCCTCGGTATCGGCGTCTGTGCCGGTACCGTTGCAGCATTCAACTTATTGAACGCGTGCACTATCCGCCACCCTCCTGTTGCTTTTCGCACACAGAAGGTCGGAGAGCTATGTGGGAAGTTGATTCCCTCACATGGCCCGCAGCTAAACGATCGGCAAAGAACTTGTCGATCGCAAGTACTTGTTCACGAGGCAGTGGCCACTGCTTCATGACACAGTACTTCGAGCCTGGTTTAAGCTCGACCTCGTGTCGAATACCTTTTTCCTTCGGTAATTCGCACGGAACAGTTTCAGGGAATACATCCTTGAATTCAACCAAATCTTCATAGAGAGGATTTGTCTTGAGCGATTCCCACGATTGGGAGTCATATCGCTCAATTCGTGTCTTTTCATCTAGGACACTCTCGTCCATAGATGAACTACTGAGAACTCTCTCGTTCTCAGTAAACACTGTTGCTGACCGAATGTCGGCCACACACTCTTCGTCAGCGACGAGTACGCAGATCTGCTTGACTTTGCCACTACGCAGATCAAGCAAGCATCTTTAATGCTCGAGCGTTGGCAACTGAGTGATCTCCGAAGTCAACTTCGGAGGCGCAATCAGATCAAGTGTATAAGCGCCTACACTTGATCCGTTATTGACTATGACATTTAATGTCTCTGTCATTTCCTGGGGACTTATTCCCTCAGGCTTCGAAGGACTTATTCCTTCGGCTTCCCGGGGACTTATTCCCTCGGGTTTCGGGGAACTTATTTCCGCCGTATTTGTATTATCGGGACTTATTCCCTTTACTTCCTCTAGCTGTGGTTGCGCAACCACAGCGAGATCCTCTACGAAAGACTCTCCAGTCGATCTAGGATTATCGTTTCGCTTAACCTGAGCGATCGGTTGTTTCTCTTCTAGATGTTCCCCGCTAGGGATACATCTTTGTCCCGGTCCACTCGACTTATTCGAGTGGTGGAACTTCGGCGCAGCCTGTGTTTCCTCACAGCCGCCGGAACTTTGCTCCGAAGTGTAACCGTTTGTTACACTAAGGTTTTGTGCAGTCGTACTAACGACCGTACCACAAGTGAGGCCATCGCACTCACTCGTAGTACATCCACACGCTTGTGGACGCTCCAAAACGTTCATCAGATGGCCATCTGATGAACAAGCGGCAGGCATCGTTACTGTTCGATGTTGCCAATTTACCCGTGGTTCGTACCTTCTGAGCCACGGTATTCCAAGGATGACATCAAATTTGTCATCCAAATCCAATACGATGAAGTCTTCGTCATATTGGGTATCTTCTAGCGTATAGTGGATCTTCACTATACGCTTCATGACGGTTACGGATGCGCCTGTCGCAAGACGTACCGTCATCTTCGTAGGAGGTGTGTCACATTCACTGAATTTAAAGTGACCATCTTCTAGCGATTGGCGTCGCACAAAATTGTTGGACGCCCCACAATCGACTAGAGCTCGAAGGGACAACTTATTCGTCACTTCGAGTTTCAAGATAATGAGAGAGATCATATTACCTAGAGCAGCAACGCACAACGTTTGTGTGTTGGGAGCAACCTTCATCAAGAGGCCTACAAATTCTCTTGACGTTGCTAGACCAGTAGGGTGCTCCGCACCTACTGATCCTGTCCGTTTTTTGACGGTCCATCCCGTTGTTGCGTCTTTGCACCAACAGCGGACCCGCGTCCC